AAGGACGAAAACCCCCTGAAAACCCCTTTTAAATTAAAAAAAAAAAAAAAAAAAAAAAGTACTGGAATGCGGAAAATCACTGTAAAAATGCACTGCACTGCGTTTGCAGATCTGTTCCAGACATGGTGTGAACATGACATCAAGCAATCATATTGTGCACACAATGTTGTTCTATAGTTGGTGTGTGATTAATTATTAATGACAGAACACTACTGACAAAAAACATAGCCAGAAATGGGGGGGAAGGAGAGCAATGTGCAGTGCATTTGTTAAAATGGATGTGGGCACTGTGCTTTGATTCTTGCACATTTCTAGTTAAGTATGCTTAAAGAATTACATTTATATGACATTTACGGTATATGAAAATCAACTCTATGATTGAGCCATTATGCCTGGTATTAGTGCCATAGTAACAGTCAATATGGATGATGGCATTTACACTTTTTTACCTTTGCTAACTCCTCTTCATCTATCTCTGGTCGTGAAGACTTCCCATGTGTCTGTTTCTCATCATGAAAGATTGCTTTGGGCTTTTCATCCTCTGATTCACTATCTGACGGTGGCTCATTGATCCAACCATCCAAGTCTAAACTGCAAATAGTAAAGGAAAAAAAAAAAAGTTAATATTGACATAAAATAAAATACCACAAGCTTTCGAATATACCTCCCCACGTTTTCATCTTCATTGCAAGGCCACAGTCTGAACTTCACAGAGCTATTCTAAACTTTCACAGCTAACTGAAAGGGTCTATTTTTTTCCATCAGGTTCATTTTATCCATCATGCAATATACACACAAGATAGACAGATAAATAAACTGGAAAAAATAAGATTTTGTTCTTACCATAAAATCTTTTTTTCGTTGTCCATTGAGGGACAGAAAGGAACGAACGCCGACAGGAGTAGTGAGATGGTGATGGGGCAGTAGAAAGCGATGTGTACGGGGTTGGTAGAATGGCTGTTCTCCCCGTTCTGAGCTTGACAAAGAGGCCCCGCCTCGAAACGCGTAGCTACCCACCCTGCACACATCGCTTTCTACTGCCCCATCACCATCTCACTACTCCCGTCGGCGTTCGTTCCTTTCCACATCACCGCTTTGCCTCCCGAGCCACCTGACACATAGCCGACTGCAGACAGCACTTCGGACACAGTGTTCTCGGCCGCAACGACTCAGCCTGGCCAGCTGAGCCCTTGCAGGAGACAGCTGTCCCTCCAACGCAGCCAACGTCCTTACAGGCATCTAACCTACCAGGTCACCGGGCTCTGCCTGTCTGTACTATTCCAGGGGCTCCACTCGAACTCCTCCCTCTGATGGCATCCCAAATGTGAGTTTTTTCAATTGCTTTGTACAGTAGTAGCGCTCTCAATACACAGTCTTTTTCACTATCTGTGGGTTTGGAGTTCTTGGGGGAATCTGCGAGAACCTGGCAGTCTAGCAGAGGAAGGACTGCCATGGGAACGGAAACCCCTAGTAGCTTACTTAATAATTTTAAAGATGAACTCCCACATAGGGCAAATATAACATTCACCCTATTGATCTTATCTTATATTGATGCTCCGCTGACTAGCACTTGGAGGAACTTTAACCATATCTTCAAAATAACAACAAAAGGCACCTTTAGAAATGTTTAGTACGGACAATCTACAAACAGGTGCTTCTAGATAATTGCTGACTTTTTAATTTTTGCATTAACTTATTTTTCTTTTGTTCCCCTGTCTTCTGACAGTGGGCCATTTTAACTAAGGGCAGGTTACTAGATCTCCCTTTACTTCCTGGAACTCTGACACATGTGATTTGGATATGTGACCCTGCAAATCATCTCAGGGGAGGAAAATTAGGATTATAGATGAGATTTCCCAGTAACGCTCTGCTGATGTAACTTTCCCAGGATGCAATGCTTGGGTACACATCATTTGTGGCAAAGCGGGAAAAAAAGAAAATGTAAGTAAAATAAAAATATGCTTGTTTAGCCAATAAATATAACATTATTTCATATCAGCATGCAGAGCTGTACGCTAATGTGATTTTTAGTCAAAGGGAGTAAAGGTCCACTTTAAGCTAAATAGCTCTTTGACTCTGAACAGAGGAAAGTGACATTCTAGACAGGCATCAAGAACTGCATTGCACACAAAATGAGACGCAACTGTCATGTGATTAACACAATCAATAAAATATGAGTCAACACTCGCAGCCACTTGGTCAGCACTCACAGTCTTAGACCAGGCAACTAGAGTCTGGAAAACGTGAAGGTCTCAAAGAAGAAAAACTAGATACTGTAGAGATGGTACAAACTGCAGAATCATCTAAATTTAAAGTTTCCAAATTAACTTTCGTGCAAAAGATCTTTCTTTACCACCCAATAATGCCATTAGAAACTTGACAACTGTCTATCAAAATTTTGTTTACTTCAAAGGTTTGATTTTGGAATGAATGGAGTTTCCCCAAGCAAAACCACATTCACTGTTAAAGCTGAACGTACAGCTTCAATTAAAAAGGCCACAGTTTCTTTCTGATGTTGAGACACCATAGGTGACTGAAAATCAGCAGCTGAAGTAAAGTCCTCCTCCATGGACCATAAGGATTCATCATTATTAGATAAAGAATCTTCGGGAAGGGCTAAAGATAAAACCAGAAATATCTGGCATCTTCTCACCCAAAGCTATAGGGAAGGAAGATTGGGTCCGTTTCTTATCTTTGTTAGAGGAATGATAAACATTTTTTAGTTATCCATGATAGGCAAAATCTCCATAACTGCAGAAAAGACTTTGTGAGAAACGGGGAGAAGAGTCAACAGACAATAAAGAGGTGCAGAAACAGCCACTGAAAGATTTATTGCAGGGATGTCCAAACTGCGGCCCATTAGCTGTGGTGGAACTACGAATCCCATGAGGCTTTGCAAGATTCTCACAGCCACAGACATGACTCCCGGAGAGAGATGCTTCATGGGATTCCTAGTTCCACCACAGCTGTTTGGATATCCCTGATTTATCGGTTTTAGACAAAGCAGAAACACAATTAACATAATCTTTCCATTTGGTAGTTTCTACCTTACAGATAGAACCATATAGACAGGACACAAGGCGACGAGAGCAGGTACATTGTCAGATGTTCCAGCGCCGATGTCCCTCCACTTAAGTATAACATAACAAGCAATGAACCTTTAAATAGCTCTGCCATCTCAGAGCAGGATATTGTTGCAGAGCCCATAGGAGATATAGAGCAGAATTTGTCTCCAGCTCAATTCTTCTCTCAGTCTGTGTCAGCTTCTCACAGCTGTGTTTAATGAGGGCAGGAGAAGAGCTGAGCTGGCACATGTATCCTCACTAGAAGTTTGGGGCACACGACTGGCTGCCTCAACACAGCCATGCGAGTGCATGCACAGTAAAAAGCAAGTGTATCATAGGTTCTTTTCTTGTTTCGATTTTTAGATGGCGGGAAAAGTCCACAGAATTAGTAAAAAGGAGGGAAGGGCCAAGATCTCTGCAGTGAGAAAAAAACATGAAAATCCCCAGACAAAACTGGCCTGACCTCAAAAATGGTAGCTGAAATATCTCATCAGATAGGAACACAGGATGTACAGCGCGGTGACTGGGAAAGGCCCATGCTCTTTAAATGAAGAGATGACCAAGGGAACTCTGGACCACCAGAGGATGAATCACCAGTACGGAGACTAGAAATGACCTGCTTCCTGACAACTAGAGAAACTTCCAGGATTTCATATTATCCAGCATGAATCAACTAGCAGCTCGATAGTAGAATCTCTCCAAACAAAACAACATTTCAAAAAAAGCAGAAGAGAAGGAGAAATCCATTATCCTGAGGACACAAAGCAAAACTGGCAGGTGTGGGGGAATACGATTTTAAAAGGTTTTTTGAATTTTTTGCCTAGTGTCCATTTCTCCAGAAGGCAGCAGCATAACCCTATGTCTCAGAATTCTTCAGAGCTGTATCCCTCAATAGACGATGGAGACAAATTTTCTGCATAAAAGATTCCCAGATTATCTAAAGAGCATACATCAGCGTCTATCTCCTTTTAGCATCACCTTAAACCTATCAACACACTCATTCACTTTTTACAGGCTTTTTACTTAGGAAGGAGACTGAATAGGGAAAATAGCTCCCCTTGCTGGTTGGTAGAAGACTATATAAAATTATATAATATTTTAATATTCAGCCCTGTGGATCAGAGTGTTGCTGCAGTTTTCAGCCCACATCCTGTACACCTCTAAGTGCAATTTAGTGCCTGTGTCAACAGCATTAGTATGAGATGCTTCTGAGATTTAGAATTCATTGACAGGAACTTCTGAGCAGCTTCAAGGGGATTTTGCATTCCTATGGACCTGTATGGAAATGCAAAACCCCTCTAATGCAGACAAAACCCAAACTACATAGGTCCTTATACATTTTCAGTTATCGTACAGTGCTCCGATTACGATGGAATTTTGCAGTGGTTACAGCATTGTGTTTGGAGCAGAAGAACATAGTTGTTTTTTTAATTTCTGACTCCCCAGTGTGGATTTTCTTTATTTCCAGTGGCTGGTTGCAGAAAACATTACATATATTTAAACTGAATACTGGGTAAAGGACATGCTCCTTAATGGATATTGTTATTTGTGTGGTTTTTTTTTAACCAATACATACCCTTCAGGGATGGGGACTTTCTTCTGGGCTTTAGGAGCAACAGGATTCAGTTCTCCAGCAAACAAAGCCATCACCTCCTCAGCTACTGGAACCTCCTTTGACTGTAGCTTTAGAATGTATTTCATGAGATGCAGAATACAAGAAGCCTGCAAATGCACAAAACAAGACCATGAGAAAACAAAATCCCATGGCTTGCATTTGTTAAGACATGTTATATTGCAAATCTCTACTTTAAGACAGCTTGTGCAAAAGCAGCAGCAACAATGTGATTTAAAGCCCAAATTGGGCAACGAAGGGTCCCCAGGCCTCTTGGACAGCACACTTGTACATCACGGTAAGGTAGGGTCTGTGTCGTGTCCTGCTCCAACCACCTTATACTCAACTCTCCAGCATTTACCGTCTCGCAGCCACATTTGCCACCACATTACTGGTTTTTAGCTGGTGGTAGAAATTTAAGGGAGCAGTTACGTCAACAGTCCTTAGATAAGGTAGTTGCATTACTTTTTATTTCAGACTTTTTAGCTTTGTTTTTCACCTAATAACCCTGCAAACAACACTTTCACTTTGTTTTCACTTTGGCATGAAAGTCTTTTTTGGATAATCGGTAACAAAAAACAAAACTAAATCCACTGTGATTCAATTTTCTATGCCACAGAAGCAAGGAATGTTCTAAGGGGTTGAAAACGTTTTCTAGGCACTGTATAAGTTGGTCAACTGAAATTAATGTATGTATGCCTGAAATCCTTCCTCAGACTTTGAAATCACATAATCAGCGTTAGAGAAGGAAACTTGTCAAACAAATTAAAATATATTACCCTTTCTTGAACTTCCAAGTCAGCACTCTGCACAAACTGGGGAAGCCTCTCAACCATAAGTTGTGTTATCTCCTGAGCTGCTTGATGATCTCCATCCTGCTCTTTGCACTGTAGGATACCAGCATATAACTTCACCACATTCTGTACATAAACTGCCTGAATATGACCTGGCAGAGTAGTGACCTTCGGCCTCAGCATAGCCTCCAGTGTCTGGTGAGGTTCTGTCAAGTGTCTGCAAAAAGGAAGATAATAATACAATCAGATAATGTTAAGACATAAAAGGTAAAGAAGGTATACCCTCTAGAAAATCAAACGCCTATGGCAGGAATATCTGTAACATTGAAATAGGATATCTAGCATTCACACAATCTAAAGCTTTCTAACACTGGGCAGTACATTTTGCTCCAGAATTCCTTGATAGTCATGTATTTGTGCCCTACACTGATTCAAGGAAACTTGTGCCAGAGGCAGCAAAGCGGCTCCAAAATATAATGAATCCTCCATGATTCACATTATGTATTGTGTTCTGTTCTTTGAAAGCTTAACTTTTTTTGTCTGTTAACATGGAGCCGATGTGACTTGCCAAAAAGCTCCAGTTTTGTCTCAGCTGTCTAAAAGTAATGTGGCTTCTCAATATGCATTTAAGCAAATTGCAATCTGGCTTTGTATCCTTTTTACAATTTTCACACTTTCTTTGCTTTACTCTTTGATATGCCAAAGGCATGCAGGTACACATTAGTCTTTAGTATACAAGTAGTCTTTACAGAGCCATTGGGAGTCTCCTGGTCTCCAAATGCATCCTCTGCACTCCCTTTAGCCAGACCTAGTACAGACTGTTAGATCAGCTGTTTTCCCGACTGCATCTGCTGAAGCCACACAGCTGTGAACCAGGTAATGCTCAGAGCTCAGCATTTCCAAGTTCACTGCTTCAAGGCAAGATCGGGAAACAAATATATTTTTCATTTCCCCTCAGCTAGCCATCCAGACAGTCGGCATGGATGTCCTGGGCACCTGAAGGGCATAGATAAACCTGAATCCCTTGTAAAAGGACAGCTCAAAGCCACCTAAATAAAAAGGAAAAAAACTTGTATACATCTCAATACTGCTGTGTCACCCTATGGCAGTAAAGGTTTAAAAGGTACCACATTCCCCCTCATAGGCCGTGCATCGTCTGCAAATAATTGTATAATACTTGCATTCTGAAATGCATGGTAAAAGAACAACTTTTCTACTGCAAAGTAGGAAGCACAGTTTGCATATATGAAGAGCAAAAAAAGGCGATAACTGTAAACTTAAATACAAATTATAGATAAAAAAAAGGGGTTTTGAAACACTAACACAATAAGATTTTTTTGCAGGTACAGAAACATTACTTACTCAGAGAACTCTCCACAGATCCAGGCAGCTGCATAAAGGACTTCACATATTCCATTACGTTGAGTGTTGCTGGCCAGAAGGTGGGCATTGTCAAGCAATGTGGCCATCTGGGATACAGCAAAGTTCCTAATAGCCTTCACTCTTATGGCAACATCAAGCATCTGAGCAGCTATAAGGTGACCATGACGTGTCCCCTCTAAACGTGTGAGCTCTACCAGTATGCTAATATACCTATAAAAGAGATCAGACTGATGATGCAAATGGCTCCATATCAACAAAAAGAAAAAAGAGAAAATATTTAAAACTTTTTAATCTAGAAATAAAGCTTACCACTCAAAGTTAGTAATATACTGGTAATTAGACTGGCTGCATATATCAATAATTTTTGTCAGCAATTCATCTCTGTAAGCAGTTCCTTCTGCTTTGTCAACGTGGATCATCAATTTCTTCACAATCTCCATCAGATTCTTTTTAGATACCTGTACAAAATTAAAAACACCAAAAGAAACTTAACAAAATTTCAGAAGAACACAAAACGCTCACTATTAACCTGTCAACCCACTGCTGGAATTCCGCTCTAGCCCCATAACTATCATAGCAATCTGCTATAAAGCAGCACACCTAGTGCTTTTAACACATGTATTGCTTTCATTTGAAGAATAAAACTTGTCTATGCAATTTTTTTAAGCTGAACATTTGTCAATATGTACTAAATATCAGTTTTTCTTGTTATGGTACAATATCAGTAGCAACTTGTCAACTGAACTATTATACCAAACACAATGTCCTGTACTATAAAACAATGCGTAAAGCAAATCTACAGACACACACCTAAATACACACTTGAAATACATATATGTTAATTGATTCATCTGGAAAAGGGATTTGGGCTTCTTATTAGCCAGTCTTGGGAGTCACACACATATGCTACAGAGATTTCTAAACCATCTTCTGGTTTAGATTCCCAGATTCCTCAGTCACAAAATTTGTCAGTGGACAGAGATAATCCTAGTACATCGTCTATCAGGTAGAATGGAGGCAAAGAGATGACGAGAGAAGCTGCAAAGCTAAATCGGGAAACTGGGGTATCACCTGCTTGTCTGTGCGACATAGCAAAGGAACAAACCACAAAACTGGCTAAGTAGAAGTATAAATCTTTCAGCAGTTAAAACAGTTTGCATGTCTGTATTTGTTTCCCTACTTTTAATTAAAAAGAAAAGAAAAAGTGTAAACATATATACTACATGATACAATCATTACATATAACAATTTATACTTAACCCCTAATTCTAGCAGGACACATATGTGGCTGCACAGGCTGGACCTTATATCGTGCTGCCATATATATATAAACAACTATGTTTGTGTTTGGAGCATGCTGAATCGCACAACCCCAGCATGGAGAGCGAACTGTCACCAACAGCTACAGGTCATGCACTAATGATTGGGAACCAACAGAAGCTTGTGATCACTGCGATAGCCATTGAGAGGGATCACTTGTTTAAGAAGCCTCCCTTATATCTGTCTGCATAGTGTTTTTGTAGAGGTTGGATGTAAGTAGTTAAAAAATTTCAATAAAGTAGTCAAAATAAATAATGAAGATACAAAATATACATCACTGATCGCTGACTGTAAATAACTGGACATAGTATGGGTTACTATGTGCCAGTTATGAATGAATAGGAAGTAATCCTGTTCATTTATAATTGTATACATAGTAACTCACAGTATATCCACAATGTATGAATGAACAGGAACACTCACAGTAAAGGAGGCTTCCTGTTCATTCAAAACAGTGGATGCAGAAAAAGAGATTATGGACTCTATCTCTTTTCCTATTTAAGAGGGAAATATCAGAGGCCTGTTTAGACCCCTAATATTTTACCAAAGCCCCCAGTCTGTGACCGTGTGCCTATAGTGAAAGAAAGTTTCTATATTTATTATTGTGGTGGTGTGCCTGATTTGTCAGTATATTGTGTCTTGGTGGGTGCCAGTGTTTTAGGCAGGCTAAAAAAAAATTTAAACAATTAAAAAGGAACTGAACTACATTAGTTACCTCAGATATCTTAAAATGAAATCATCTCCTTTAATTTGCTCATGGTAATCTATAGATTTATCTAAGGATTTTTATAAACACTAACTCGTGTTTTATGTTCAATGGTCTTTTAATAATGTTATATACAGGATTTCCTTACCATTCCATAGAGCAAATCCAGGGCTCGCAGCCTTATTGACTCATCTTTGTCATCTAGACACTGCAGAATAAGGTCTTTGTGAGACTGTACAGATTTGGGATGGGTCTTCAAGATTTTGGACATAGCCAGCAAGCCCAAATACTTCACTGCCAACAAACACAAGACTGTAAGCTTGGACTATATTCTCTGGACAAACAATGCAATTCATCTTGCTTCAACTTCACTTACAATTCTGGTCAGAGTCCTCAATAAGAATCCTTAACTTCTGAACGCAGAGCTACAAAAGAAGAGTATATTTAGAATAACGTTCTGCTATAACCAACAGCCACAATAGTTGGATTCAGTTTTACAGAGCAAAAGATCCAAATATTAAGGTGACAAAAAAAAAAAAAAGGTCAACAAGCAAGGTTGTCAAAATTATAGCTTTAAACAATCTAACTGACCCCAAGAAAAAAAGTCTGAAGGATTAGCGTAAAAAGGAAAGGGATAATAAAAGTAGATATACCTGAATACTGGCACTGTGATTAGGCATCCCAGATGATAATGATATTAAAACTATGGGTAAACAGAACAAAAAAAGCATGTCAAAGAATAATTATCTGTACACAACGTCACAACAAAGCATGAACTAAAAAGCATTTTATGAATGTCAATAATAATTCTGTGGAGGACTATGCTATTTTCTTAAACCATTGCACCAAAATAAATGTGATACAAGGAAAAGTTGCAGGTTCACTTTAATGGCATTTCCACAAGCACATAAGACACCTTCCTTTCACTCCCCTGCCACTTCATTGAGCTGCTGGAATCAAAATTGTGCACTGGAGCCTGCACAGGACTGAGGATTCTTTCTCTAGCCACTCATGGCAGTAATGAGTGCGTAAGCGGCCAACCACCAAGTACCATGGGGGGGGGGCAGGTGTGAGTGCATCTGCATGCACAGTGACTCAAAGACTTTTGGAGGATGGCCTGGTGTCAAGAATGGCAGCAAAGAAGCCACTTCTCTCCAGGAAAAAGATCAGGGAATCAGGGACGGACTCATATTCAGCAAAAAAGGTACAGGGATTGGACTGCTGTTTGCAAAGCACTTTAGCTAGAGGGTCCTCCTCATCTGCACTAAAAGGAGGCCCATCCTGCACATCGGGGGCTTGACAAAGAAGCTCTGCAGGACCTGCCTAACCTCGAACCAGAACATGCTTCTAAGCACAGCATCCAAAGCCAGGGAGTAAGGGGCAAGAACATTAGCTAAGACTATTCACTTGATTAAGGACAGAAGTGAGAGATGTGGAGAAACTTCCTCAATAGGTTACGGATTAGTCATATGTATATACTGGTTGTATTACCTATTTTACCTTTTATTGTTGATAAAATGTATACGCTGAAAAACTTTAAAGAATTTGTAAAAAAAAAAATAAGAAGGGGTTACAGATGAGTCACACAAAAAAAAAAAAGGAACTAACTGCAGGTGAACACGAAGGCCACTGGAAATACTCTATCCCCAATAGTGAGTATCCTGCCGCAGGATCCTAGCGTATGCGGTCTGTTGAAAATCTAAATTAACAAAGGGCCCCCCAATGTTGGTTCCTTTCTGCCATGCAGGAAATTAGGTGCACCCAGGTATGCAAACCTCACTCTTCAGAATGGAGACTACCAGTTGATGAGAGCCAGATGCGAATGTATTAGCGTGGTTGAGAATCACTGTCTCCAGCATAGGGAGAGCTCCCTCTCAGTCAAGGTGAAGAAACCAAGTCACCAGGTGATCACTCGAACAAATTGAGAACTGTTCTGGGGAACCAGACTTCAGTGAGCGAGCGAGAGACTGATTTAGAGGAAAGAGATCTAAATAAATAAATATATATATTTTTTTGTTTTAAGGTTGTGTCCCTTAGCAGACGAGAAATTAATTTTATGCTGCTGGGACAAAGCACAGCTTTGCTTTCTATATAAGATTTGGATTTATTATTACAAGTTAAATTTTGTAAAACCAGAGGAACGATTTGTAAAAGATAATCAAATGGGAATACTCCAGGGGCACAAAAGAATATTATGAGGCTGGGAGCCAGCATTCTGCAAAACATACTACTGGGAATGTGCCCAAATAAAGAACAGTAGCAATATTTTCTCAAAACACAGCCATTTTATCACTGAAAATGCAAGTGAGCTTCTCACTGATCAAATAAGTTTTGTCGGGAGTTACACTTTTAATTAGGAGTGATAGTCTAAAACTGCAGAATCTAATTGGTTTTATATTAGAAATAGAATCAATGGTCTTCCTGAATGAGAAAACATCTCAGTAAACTTTAGAATGTAAACTATATTTGCGTTAACAGTACACACAGAAGGTAGGATAAATTATGAAGCAAAACTTAAGTCACCATAACAGTTACCGTATTTTTCGCTCCATAAGACGCACTTTTTTCCCCCCAAAAGGAGGGGAAAATGTGCCTGCGTCTTATGGAGCGAATCCCGACGCCCGAGACATGCAGTTACGGGCGCCGGGCGAGTGATTTTTTTGTACATTTAGCCCTGCTAAAGCAGAGCTAAATGTACAGTAGGATCCACTGCTCGTTTAATACAAGTGATATGATTAGATCACTTGTATTAAAACCGAGCAGCGGCGACGGCGGGGGTGATCGAGATCACCATAGAGCAGACGAAGAACGGACGTTCTTAGTCTGCTCTGTGTGATCACGAAGACCGTGGTGCTGTAATCACAGCGCCACCTGTCTCAGCGGTCAATAACTGCAGCTTCTGTCACAGAGGCTACGTTCTGTCGAGTGCTCCATGAGGCGCACCAGGCCTCCCTGCGTCCTATAGTCCGGTGCGTCTTATGGAACGCAAAGTACGGTATGTTGTGTCCTACTTCCCAGATATAAATTGACATTTTTATTTGAAGACCCTAATCTTAACTTTTATTCCTTTTTAAATCAGTAGTGTAATGTTCATGATTAGTTAACGTACCTGCTATTACAGTATTCACACATTCATAGAGCAAGGACATTGCAGATGTGCTGTTTGGGAAAGAAAAGTGATGTAAAAAAGTTTTTTTTTTTTTTATTATATACTTTAGACAATTATGGAAAAAATGTAATCCAATGAAGAAAGCAATATAGAATGGTTAGTAGACACATAAGCCCAAACTTTAGCTTTCATGTTGCTAGACATACTGTGATATCTTTATCAAATTTAGGGCATTTGTGACAGAACAGTTTTTCTTACCAATAGAGCTAATTAGAATTCTAAAGCACAGATGCAGCTTATGAGGTGGTCAAGAGGTTAGAAGCACCTTTGAAGCATCTCAGAAGGGTCTCAGGCTTAATGCACCTGAAAGTATTCTGCATTTGTCCCTCATAAGAAACTAGAAACTAGAAACTAGTTTTGCGCTGTGTTACTAAATAACGATAAATACATATATTACATTTTTCTAAAAAAAAACACAATTTAATTCGTATATCGTACTTTTCACTAAGACAATCTAAAAAAGTAAGCAAAGGCTGAAGTAAACTACCTGTGTATTAGGTTGGTTAGAGGTTCAATAAGTTTCTTTCCTAGTCGTGGTTCCAAGGGAGTAAGTGCACCAAACTAAAAACAATAGAGAGGGGGGAAAATATAAGATTAATTTAACCACATGAAGACCAGGGTGTTAAACCCCCTTCCCGTCCAGGCCATTTTTCAGTATTCAGCGCTGAGGTAATTTGACATTTATTCAGTCATGCAACGGCATATGGAAATGTATGTCATGTTTTTGGGATAGACAGAGCTTTCTTTTGGTGGAATTTAATCCCCACTGGAATTGGGTTTTTTTTTCTACTACATATGGAAAAAAATAAAAATATTTTTTTTTCCTACGTTGTGTTATGAAACATTGAAAATAAATAAGCTTTCTTCATATATTTAGGCCAAAATTAATTCTGCTACATTTGTTTGGTCACGGCAAATAAATAGATACAAAACATGTCAAGCCTTAAAACTGTGTGCGCCTGCGAATTTGCAAAAAAAAAAACAACTACCCATAACCCAAAAAACTGTCCATAGGCGACACTTTAAAAGGTTTTACTGCTCATAACTTTAGTGTTATTGTTAATGATTGATGGCCCTAGAATTATTTCTCGCACTCCAATATTCGCAGTAATACATAACATGTGTGGTGCAATTGTCGTTTTCGTATGTAGGCATACTGACAAGAGTTTGCGGCGTTTGTACGTGTGGCAGGGGACTTTAAAAAACTAATATTTGTTTTTATATGTGACTAATTTTTTTAAACTTTTTGGTTTTAAACTTAACTAAAAGTGACATTAAACCTTTTTTTTTTTCCATTTGTAGACATGGCAACACCCCTGTGGGATTTAGATCTTGTGTTGTTTTTTTTCTTTTTTAAATCTTTCAATTCCTCGTTCTCTAGTGGCCCCAGCAGGGCTTTCCCTCCGCCCTCTACACAGGCACCTCCATCAGCTAACTGCTGCTATGGAGGAATCCGTGCGTGCTCGTTCCCAGCCGTGGCAGTGTGCGTCCATAGACGCACACACCCCGGCCACCAGTCAAGCCCCTCCACTCCGCCCAATAGGTTGATTGACAGCAGAAGGAGCCTATGGCACCAGGACCACCAGGAAGTTGGGGGCGGAGGATCGATTCGGGGACCGGCGGCAGTTACAAACGGCACTGAAAAGGTAGGTACGGGGGCAACAGGGGGACACAAAAGGTAAAGGGCATTTTTTATTTTAATGCAACAAATGCATTAGGGAAAAAATGCCCTGCCTTTAATACTACTTTAATTGCGATCACATAGGGAGCTAATAAATCTGATTCAACAGATCATGCTTCAACAGCTTCTTCTCCGGCTACAGCAGTCAGAGAAATGATACAGTGAAACTGGAAGTTATGTTATGTAATACACATCGCTTGTGCGTGGAGATCAGCCACTGGAAGTGTGTGCAAATCCCCCTCCGATTGATGTAAAAAGACCTGCTGTGTTGCTCCCGTGCTCGAACAGGGGACAGCAGAGCCCGGGATGGCCAGCAACTGGGGGGACTCTATAGCCGCCTGAATACTGGTATGTAACAGCCATCGCCAGCTGTAAAAAATGTTCAGTTTCCTGTGCGTGAGTGCGAAGAGGCATTTAAAAACATCCACCTGCCCTTAAGTGTGAGCTGCCCGGCCGTTTAAATACAATGGCTGGATGGCAAGCAGTTAAAGCATATCTAAAAGCAAAAACAAATGTTTCATAAATATATTGCAGCTCACTAGTTCCAAGACGTGATGGCTGCATTTGCATAGTTTTCCCTCTTAATTTTCACCTGCTCATCCTGCCATTAGCACTTCCTGTGCTAGGGTGAAAACCCTCTAACTGAACTGTGTCTATTAAGGCGCAATGTTGTCACCTTAGAATAAAAACTATATAAAGACTAAAAAGAACAATTCTCCCTATTATCATCTCCAGAAAATTGGGGAATGTGTACTGTAGTCCACAGAGGTGAACTGGGCAGGATAATAAGAGTTTGCGATAACACTGCACAGACCAAAGAAAGTTAGCAGCTCACTAGATTTCTGGCAGGGTAAACCATTATTACTTGCACTTAGTGAAATGTGTTTTGTTCAATGGTATATTTAACAGATCAAAAAGGGAGCAAATAAGAGAAATGTGTTGTTAGGGTTTACATACACTTTAAGACAATTAGCTTTTACTTATAAGAATTTTTGACAAATGCTACAGGTTCACTAAAATGTTTTTGTACTTGCATTAGCAATAAAGTGGAAATGGAGACTGCAATAACCAAAAGCACCTAAAGTGGCCACAGAAGGCATGTATCCTTTGCAAATTGCAAAGCAATTTTCTGCACATTTGCAGGAGCAATGCTTGCAATATCCTCTCTCAGTATATTAAAGTGACATTAAACCCTCAGATTTAACATAAACCAATACTGTAATGTGTGCCTTACTGTAATCCATGGTAGTTTCCCTTCTCTTTGCTGCTCTTTTTAAATCCTTATCTCTTTTCATGCTTGGGTTAAACTTCCCTTTGCAGCTGAGTGCCTCTTCCTGTAGTGCTGGCTCAGGTTGTGAACCTTCACACAGACACGATGTATCCATTCCAGAGACAAGGCAGTCTGCTGCAAAGGGAAGTTCTCCCCCAGCATGAGAAGATATGAGGATTTAAAAGGAAGAGCAGCAAAAGAGAAGGGAAACAACCATGGATTACAGTAAGGCACACATTACAGTATTGGTTTATGTTAAAAAACCTGAGGGTTTAATGTCACTTTAAATGACTATGCTGACAGCATAGGAGATTTAAACCATAAGTCCCAGGTGGGCTATTTACCCAGCATTCATGTATGTGCAGTCTAAGGCCTCATTCACACGGGCAAAGGAATTCAAGTGCAGAATCATGCGTAAAATACACATCTTTGTAGGCAAGTATATGCACATTTGGCACGTATGCGTCGTCTCAATGCGTACAATTTTTTTCCCTGTTTTTTTAGCACCAGAAACATTACATTGTATGCGTGTGCAAACGCGTATATATGCATACGTGAGTAAAATACATACGATTTGCGACCCTGGACACAGCTCTGCTCCATTTTTTGTGTGCATCTGTACACAATGCAAAAATATGGCACCTTACACAGCTGTGTGTATGGGGCCGTGTATTTACATGTGCTGCATACAGATGCGTACAGAAATGATCTTGTCTACCCACTTACATTTCTAGTGTTTCTAAAGCTGTTTTTACAGCATTTGTGAACAGTACAAAATAAATAGGTAAGGCCTAGTGTTCACCAGAACAATATTTGCCCTCTGCAGAGTGACCAGTGTTAACCAACATAGAGCAAGGGTCCTTTTCTGCAGCATGCAAACGGGTGACTGCTTTCTAAAGAAAACTAAGCCTTTGCAAACCTTTTATTTCAAAGCACCTGGTATGTATTTAGCTGACTTAAACAAAAAGTTCTAAAAGGTGTTAAATATTAATTTTCCCAAGTCAAGATAAGGAGTTAAAATTGATATCTATAAATTGATCTTTTAAATGCCGCTTTCCAAATAAAACAAAATGTAAGACTTTGCACACCTTTTGTTTTGATGCACCTGGAAGGCATTTAGAAGACTCAGGGCCGGTTCACAGCGGCTCCCTGCTTTCAGGGGTGGGAGTGGCGGTGCATTGAAGTCAATGGCACCGCAGCCACGCCCCCACCCAGTCCAGTGCGATCTGGACGTGTCTGCGTTCCGAGTGCGGGCAATCGCACTGCAGGCGGGGCTGTGGTGCCATTGACTTCAATGCACCATCAAGCCCCCTCCTGCCCCTGAACGCAGGGAGCCGGCTGGCTTGCGTTCCAGAGGCCGAACGCCCTGGAACGCAGCCTTTTCAGTGTGAACCGGCCCTCAAACTGAAACTTCCACTGGGCTTTAAGGTGAAAAATATTTTAAAGGTGAAAAATATTTGTTTCCTTAAGTCAAGAGATGTTAAGAGTTAAAATCGATAGCTATAAATAGATCTTTTAAATGAGGAACTGAGCAGCGTTTTTTCATTTAGAACCCAAGGCGAGGTGTAAATTTATCACCTAGTGTTAAAGCTGTAAATTGGAAGAAGTAGCAGAACGGAGAAATATACTTTGATGCTTACCAATTTGATGATTTTAATTAGAACCCAGTTGTTAGTAGATGATGTCATAAGCTTGAAGAATAAGGGGGCCAAAGATAGGTAATTTTTAGGGTTTCGGCGGGCTAATTCACATATAACATTCACTGCAGCTGACTGTACCCCTGGCAAAGAAAATGACAGATCACTTACAATAAGCATAAAAAAATTAAAAAAAAATTATATATAAAGATAGTAAATTGAAATGCTCACCAGGATCAGGGTCCTCTAGTTTTTCTTTGAGTCTAGGGAATGCTGGACGTAAGGACTCTGGGTATTTCAGAAAAACTTTATACATAATCAAAACTGCCTTTTTCCTGATGTAAGGCTTTGTATGGGACATCTGTAGAGATCGCAATATGTTTCACCTGTTACTAACAGTTAAGCAATCTTGGAAAAAACATTATATTAAAAGAAAGCAAAGTAAAGAAGGAGTTTTGTTTTTCAAACTAGAGGGACTTTCAACTTTAACAAAGTAAAGCAGGAAACTCATATCCGTGGGATTCAAGTTAAACTCAAAATTTAATTGTAAAAGATGCATTTCCAATGCGGGACCCACACCACAAACAAAAACAAAACGGTCCCAGAATTTCCTCAAGCCTGTTTAAAAGCCTCCCTAAAAACTGATGTGCAGTGGTGCTCCAAGGCTGGCAGCTGTTATTCTTAAAAAGTAAAGCGTTTTGTACATATTTTCTTTACTAATCGTGCTCAGAACGGGAAATGTTTATTTTTATGGTAAGGTAAACATGAAATATTGCATATTCCTGGTGCGACAGGTCAATGGATCCAATCAATGATGCAACGGATGCCACTGCCATCTGCTTCGAGTCAAGCTGCACTCCTCTGCAGCCATTAGGTGGCCACTATTAATGCAACTCCTGCACATGTGCACAGAAGTTACATCATTGTAACTGGTTCTATTTTCAGCATGCCGATAATTAACTGGGATGTACAGTGCATGTCTTTTACAAAAAAATAAATAATCGCCCAACAGAGCATGGGCTGACTGTTTTCTCCCCTAGCTGCTACATAAAAAGTTATGCAAGGAGGTGAGGGGAGTGATGAAAGAGCTGTCAGCACACACAGTAATTAGGCACTAACACCAAGACATGCAAGTAGGGGAAGAGGCTGTGCAAGAGAATCAATTAATTTGAAGCAGTCAAATTTGTTTATGAAAACCAAAAGATACAGCAATAAAGCATTAAAAATACTTGTTTTTTCTGTGCTTATACCTGAAGTTTCATTTAAGTTGGTGACAGGGTCTCTTTAAGGATATTCTTTAACTTACAGTTTACTTAAAACTCCAGCAATGAGGCAGTGGATCACAAAACCGGTGATGCTTATTAGTCAGAGGTTACACAACAAGTTTAACTTTCCAAGTGCACAATACAGGAAAATATATTGGTAGCAGACCCCAATCCTGAGATAAGTGGTGCTATCCTAGGTAGAAACTAATAAGATGTTTGTACTTACCATTAAATCTTTTTTATAAAGTCCATTGTGAGACACAGGAATTCTAAAACAGTAGGATTAAATGGTGCCACCAACAGGTGGTTTGAACACTGATAAATAAGAAACTAAAATATAAAAAACCCAACCCCAGTGTAAATATGCCTCCAACTATCATGCAAAGGCCATAAACAGAGGGGGGAGGACCTGTGTAGCTCAAAAGACTTAACAAAAATGTTTACGGTAAGTAAAAGAAAATCTTTTTTTCTTTATTGTCCATTGGGGGGCACAGGAGTTCATGGAATACGAAATAGTCGGGACATCCAAAAGCAGTTCAACTGAGGAATAGTGAACATCCACTTATGAATCACGAGCTAAAACCAGGACCTAGTGGTTGATTCCTACAGGACAGAACTTCTAACAACCCAGGGCAGGTCAGCAGGATCAAGGACCAGGACAGGATCAAAGAAAACAAAACAAAAGAGCCAAGCCTTGAACTTCTGACACTAGGCATCAGGAAGCAAGGCTCCAACAAAGAGTACATCCAATCTTTTAAAGGATAATCAAGTCAGGGAACTATCTAGCGTAACACCCCAAAGGGACGGTCAATGACCTAAGGAGTTAGAGACAGCCACAATAGAACCACCTTAAGTCAAGGAGACTGATTAAAAAAAGGGTAAAAAGTGTCCACAGCTGTGGACCAAGGGGGAGCAACCTTAGCCAGGGGGCTAAGAATTAACAAGCTCTACAAGTTTAAACAGAGTCCCGGCGGCAAAAGTCACCGGGAGTCTGTTTAAACAGCCCCGATGCTGGCGACGTACACTGTACGTCGTCAGTCACGAAGGGGTTAAGGACAGATGTAGGAGAGATATTTTGAGGAACTTCCCATAAAGGCTGCCAATCAGCCACTGTAGAAGGGCCTACCTGTACATAATCCGAACTCGCGAGGACCCCTCAGATGCATGCCATCTCCTACAGGTATTATCTGCAGCAGGGTTGCAGCAACAGGTGTTTTCTGACAATAAAACTAAACACCAAGCCCTCTAGCAATAGTTTCTGCCATGCAGTAGATTAAAGGAGAACTATGGGGTTAGGGCTTTTCCCCATAGTTCTCCTTAGGGTAACGGGAGGACACAAACTAGCGTCCGCCCGTCACCCTAAGCTCAGTATACCGCGAGCTACAGCTGCTAAGACATAGGGGTAGACGGAGCGAAACGCAGATCTCCTTTGCTTTGATAGGATAGTAACAAACTGTCACAGATAAAGCACAAAGCTCTAGACATATGCTCCAACTGTTCCATACTGCAAGCACCTACCATAGCCATGGAAAGATTATTTCTAATAATTCTTCCAGTCTGATGTGTTTTGACAGATCAGAGTTGCTGCCAACATAGGATGGAGGTCCAAACCAGTTAACACAAACTTGGATCTAATGAGGGAATTCAACATCCTAAATATACCTTCAACCCTTCTATTAGCATCTGTTAATGTGTATCAATGTACCTTCTACATAAGGCACAGACCACCTATGAGTGTATCCCTTCTCAAAGGGAAAATAAATCAGGCACAGTCTCAGATGGGGCTAAGGACCCTTAAGGGCATTTCTAGTCTACATAGAGAAAGTCATCAAATAGCAGGTGTAGCCATAAGAGCTCTTAAAGACTCAAGGCTTATAAAAACAAGCTGATCCTGCAAATGCATTGTACGCACTGCATCAATAAGGTCTGGAAAAAAACCCTTGCATATCCAAATCAACTGCAGGAGACAGCGATGACCCACGTTTTGTTGGAATTCTGAATTTGGATCAGAAATGACAACAGGGGCTGCAGACCTGGTTTAACTAATGGCCAGAGGAGGTTTAGCGACATACCCTGTCAGGGATGGTGTTGGAATGGGCTTAGAACCCCTATGGACAAAATGATCCTCTAGCTGGGCACAAACAGCTAGAAAGGTGAGTTTGAAAAGACCCACAATGCCCACAAAGGTCACAATCTTCCAGTCCAGTGAGGACCGAGTATACGCCGATCCAAAGACCTACTAAAGCAGTGGTGTTAAAATCTTGAAGGAAAGTCACTGAAGAAAGAAAAAAAAAAAGTATCAAGAATCTTAATTTAAGTCATTAGAAATAGAAAGCTATTAAAAACTATAATAGGACTTATTTTTCAGGAGAGCCAAGCTAAAAGCTTCTAACCTTCTAGGGCACTGAGGCATGGTCGAGGCCAGTGTTTAACCCTCCTGTACGTGGCAGCACATAACCTAGAATTCCTGAACTTCTGCGTCCCTCAACAGTGAAAGAAAAAAGTATTCTTCCAGAGGTACCTCCTTACAATAGTACAACAATAATAATTTTAGCTGGAAAACCACTGTATTTCCTAAAAAGCATTGTTGCATTTCAGTGACTTTACTTGTTACTGGGAGTTGCACATTAAGCGACAGAACAAATAGCTTCCCATGTGCTTGCTAGGATTTGACAGATAAAATTTTTTTTTTATACCATACTGTTTGGAAAACATGTAACCATGAACCAACCAGTTTTTTTGGGGGGGATGGGGGGTAAAGATACCACAAAACAAAAAAAAGACAAATGCAATAGTATAATCTTGATACAATTTCTACATAACGTCACTCATATTAAGCCTGAAAAAAAGGAATTGCGTGTTCTTAATCATACTTACCAGTGTCATAATATCATTGGCTAAATCCCTGGCAAGGTCTGGGGTTACAAAGCATGATAAGCCAGTCAGGGCAACACCTGTATCGTACTGATTAGGGCTACTGAGATCCTAAAAACAGTGATTGAACAATTATTACAATGTTTCCACAATTCCCAAGAGGATGATATACACACATTAATGACATAAAACAAGTCAGTCGCTTCATTTTGCAATTTACTCCAACTACAATGTGAGGCCCTGTTCACAACTAGGCGTTTTGTAGCTTTAAGCTACAAAACGCTTACCACAAAAACACATTGATTTCTATCGCCCCTGTTTACACCTGAGCGTTCTGTCACGACACCTGCAGCTTGAACAAGTCCAGGAGTTTCTTTTCAGGCATAGACTTCAATGGAAATGCCCTGAAACATCTCACAAGCGTTTTTGAGCATTTCCTGGAACATATTGCAGGCACTTTTGCATAATGTCACAGATGCTACTGCTTTCCATTGGGCCAAATAGAAAAATGCATATACACACACACACATAAAAAGACTTTAAAAATTATTAGCAACATCATGCACACTCGCATGACCTCCCCAGGGTTTAACGGTAACAATGGAACACTGGCTCCTCTGTTGTCTAGGAAGCTTTTATGTTGACATATATCCCTCAGGGGTGTTGCAGTTTAAAATATTTTGTATTGTTATATAGTGTATATGATCGGTGGCTGTGTCCACTGCTTTTATGATGGGAGTTGTATCCCCGGTTTACTACCCACATGTACCTTTATGTTTGAAAAAATTGTCAAATAAAGAATTTATTAAAAAAAAAAAAAAGACTTTAAAAAACCAAAACATCTGAATAAACTGACACCTACGTGTGAAACAGGACTTTAGGGTGGCAATGCAGGTAAGCAGAGGTTAAACAGTCAAATTTTCCACAATAATCTTCTGTATAGCGAGACTATACAGAGACTGTATAGAGACTGAAGCCAAATAACAAAACAAGAGACAGACCTTATTAACCAAACCTACGATTTCCCCGGGTCAGTTCACGCGCAGGGGGGTGTATGAGAGGGAACAGTTTTCAATATATAGTTCCCACAGGCTGGCTCGCACAAATCACCCCTCTATGTCTCCCTCCTGAACATGGGCCGCTCTTTGCAGGAAGGACGCCGCGACCCACTGCAGAAGGTGTCGCAACCCACTTTTGGGTCGCGACCCATGAGTTGAGAACCACTGATTTAAACAGTTAGTTTTAAAAAATATATATATCATTGTGCATTCAGATTCATGAATGAAAAAAGTTCTCCTAAAATTAAATCTCTCAAAGTAAACAATTATATTGAACCCAAAAATGTTAGCTGGACCGTAAGATTTAACAGATGCAGCAGAAGAAAGGTAAAGTCAAAATCTGACTATAAGTCCATTTCAGTTAGCGCTGCCAGTACCCAGACTGGTACTGTCAAGCCCATCATGGTGGTTGTAGGGACTGTGTTTATTGCTACACGGTGGAGCTCAAAACAATCGTCTAGACCAGTGGTTCTTAACCAGTGTAACCTCAGGACCCACATTTGTCTTTGGTCATTAAGTCGTGACCCAAGGCGCAGCACACTGGAATGCGCGGCATTTCGGTACCGTGCGTTCTAGGGCGGACAGTTGAACTGTGGGTGGCGTGTTTGGGGTGCCATTCAAATGAATGGCAATGCAACACACCTACCACACCAGAATGCGCAGTGGGTGCAATTGCGTGGCAAGATGTGTTAATCACACAGGACTGTGTGATTAAGGCACTGTACTAGTGTAAACGGGCCCTCAAAAACACTGACAGACACACAGAACCGGGAGATACAATCTCACACAAAAGGTTTTTTTAAGATCCATCCAGTCTCCCTATCGTACGAGTAGTTCCTAGGCCTGGGGTCCAGCGTGGGCTGCTGTGCCGAGATGGAGCTCCATCCATATGTGCATTGCTTGTACAGCTCCCTTAAGTGCCCCGAGGTTCCGGGAGCCAGAATGTGACATCACTCCGGTCCAGGCACCTCTACAGGACGCGTGAGGGAGCTGTAAGCAATGCACATATGGATGGAGCTCCCTCATATCCACAGCCTCATCCCACCCCACCTCAAGCTGGCACCGCTAGGGGGAGGCTGATGAGCCTCTCTCCCAGAAAAGTGAAAGTCATGCGGTGACCCACTGAACATTGGGTTGCAACCCACTTTTGGGTCACGACCCACCAGTTGAGAACCAAGGGTCTAGACAATATAACAGATATGTAACCTTAGTTTAATTTTTGAGTAATCTAAACCTTTAGTGGATTCCAGAGACAATGCATTTCAGGCTCTGCACCTCCTGCCACTATACATAAAAAAACAAGTTCTGGAGAAGGTAGACCCAATCCGCTCTCTCCTGAGGGAAACTGACAAGTTTCAGATGACCTTGATTAAAAAAAAAAAAGGGAGGAAATGGGATGAAACTTACCTTCCTGATTTGGTTTGTGGTTAACATAATGACATCAGTCCCTTCATGAAAGCACTGAGAAGCAGCCAAGTATCCAATCCTCTGTAAAAGAGAAAAATAAACAAGGGCTGTTTGCTTTTACCAGCAACAAGCATTATCAGTCAATGCCATGTCTGAAACATACCTTAAAAGTAAACTTTGATGCACTCATCACCTCAACGATATTAAATGCAGCCCAACTGATGTCATAGCCCAGCATTTGCAACTGTTTGAAAAGAAAAACAAATATATTTAACATGCATTATAGCACAGATTACAGCAAATAGTCCACTAAGAAATTATATACTACATCTGAGAAAAAGGTATACGCCTCAAAAGGTTACAAATCAGTATATATAACAAACTAGTTAAAGTGACATTAAACCCTCAGATTTGTTAACATAAACCAATACTGTAATGTGTGCCTTACTGTAATCCATGGTTGTTTCCCTTCTCTTTGCTGCTCTTCCTTTTAAATCCTCATGTCTTCTCATGCTTGGGGAGAACTTCCCTTTGCAGCTGCGTGCCACTTACTGTAGTGCTGGCTCAGATTGTGAACCTGCACACAGACACCATGTATCCATTTCAGAGACAAGGCAGTCTGCTGCAAAACAGAAGTTCTGCCCAGCATGATAAGAGATACAGATTTAAAAGGAAGAGCTGCAAAGAGAAGGGAAACAACCATGGATTACAGTAAGGCACACATTACAGTATTGGTTTATGTAAAAAAATCTGAGGGTTTAATGTCACTTTAAGTCCTAACTTCTCATTAACAATTATTCAGGAAGGTTTTGTTTTTCATTATGGAAACAGAAGCCACTTGAAGATCAAGGGGTTCATTCAAACGCATGTGGAAATGTGAACCAAAAGTGGTCCTCGTGTGCATTAAAAGGAGACTCTTTCAGAACAGAATGACTTTTCTTAAATTTAGTTCCCTGAAATTTTATACTGAACTGTCTCACTCCAACTAAGAAAGGTACATCAGGCATGCAGTGAGAATAACTGATCTGTAAGCTTGTGTGTGGGTGGTGTGTGGAAGTACTAAAAGCTGAACTCCAGGCAAATAGCTAAATAAAACAGAAATTACCTATGTGAGAGTGGTTTTACCTGCATCTCTGTCTATCCAATCCTGGCATTTACAAAGCTCTGCCACAAAGCACAGTCTTGACTGGCAAGGCAACTGATCTGAACCCTGCTGCTGTTAAGCAACACCTAACAGGTCTTGGCCCTCCCCCGGCCCATGACTGGATAGTGAAAAGAGAAGCGGCAGACTGAGGAGCTTATATCACTGTCGCTCTTCTCTTTCCTTATATCAGCATGCTACTTCTTGGCATAAATACTGCAACGCAACTGTCTGGATTCTTCTGTATAGCGGACTACAAGAGACTGAAGCCAAATAAAATTATTTTACATCTGCCTGGAGTCGAGCTTCAAGTGGCCATTACAGTAACAAGAGGAGTTGTAGTGGCATTAAGTCTGCAGCACTACTCTTATACTATCAACCACCTTATACTATGAAGCTTGGTTATACATAGGGAGAGCATTATTTAAAAAATGTGCATACCTTTAGAAATCTTTTGGTAGCCTAAACAGTTCATACATAACAGCACTCAGATTTTTGGGTGGAATTTCCCCATGAATGAAAACACTAGTTGCTTCTGACTGCAGACTAATCACAAAAAGAAAAGCTCACCTGACCATTATACTTCGTGCATAGATCATCTACAGGGCCGTGCTTTACAATACTTCCACACAAAAAAAGTCATCTGCATCAAGGTCTTCAATATATAGCAAAAAGACAGTCAAAAAATGTAAATCCCTGTTCACAACCCACACGTGGGTCAAGTAACTATGTAGAACATTTTACATTTTTGTGTTGCCTTTTTACTATATAATAAGAGATTTTATTTGACTACTTTTGAAAACCTTGGTGCAGATAACTTTTTAGGAAGCTTTGTTACTTACCGTACACCGACACTGAAATCCTCTCTTATGGGATTACACACCAATGGATCCAGCCTACTTCCAACTCTGGTTATACATGGCCAAAAGCCTATGCCCTTTTCATGCTGGCCAAAGTGTGTGTGCTTCTATGTCACCCATGCCTTCCCTGCTGCTTTTATCTAAATTTTTTCCAACACTTGCCACTCTGTTTACCTGCAGGAGAGAGAAGCAGAAGCCCAATGTAATGTCCAAGTTGGTGTGGTTGGAGCTTACACAGGGCTAAGGGCTCTCTTCCCTATCCCCATGTAACAGTACTGGAGCCTGGAGACTGGCCACACAGACACGCCAGCACTACATTGTGGGAGGAAGGAAACAGTCTTACATACTTCTCATACACAAGTACCAGATAATGTCACTTTGCTACAGGCAGCTCAACGGACTCAATGGGAAGTAAAGGGGAAAAAAGAGTGTATACAGGGAGGCAGCATTTAAGGGAATCTTTTCATTTTACCTGAATGGGCAAAGCACAGGTCCATTTTGTCCATGGATAGATATATATATACACACACACACACACACACACAATGCACAGGACATGCTGAATGTGGAGAAGCCCAGTGTGCCCTGTCAACATGCTTTATGTGAATGGTAATCACATTGCTTAAGATTGATCATTATTGAAGTGTAAGCGCTATTGCAGAAGTGTCTTATGGAGATCTTTTTTTAATTTGGGTTCTGAAGTTTTACTTTGTTCCCAGCAATTCACTTCACTGTTGGCACAGGTATTGTGTTAACAAAATATGATGATCATTTTCATCATCACCCTGAAATTGTGTAGCCATGCATGCTTTGTGCAAGAGAGATTTGCAAAAGACAAATTTCATTTTACTTATATTGTTGTTGTGGGTTACAACTACAATTTTTACACTATTACATTTCTGTGCTGCATTACAAACTAATCCCTTTAAATGCTTCTGCTCTTCTGTAAGTAGCTAAAAGCAGAACATTATCACTATATACCCAGAGAGCCCAGGAGAGATGGGGATAGTGGTATTTGCAGGGGCACTGTGCTGCTGAGCCTCACAATGGTGTCGTTGGTATCTGCAGGAAATTACACTGAAGTATAAAGAGAAAAAAAAAAAAAAGCAGAGATGGCTGGGGAGGTTGGTTGTTGTCAGAGTAGAATGTGCTACTCAACTATGATTGGAAGCACAGGACATTTTGTGGCTTACAGTAATGTTGAGATAAGAGATAACAATGATATTGACAATGAGACTGTTGTGTTGGAGATGAGGGAACTGGATTATTTCTGGTACAATATGCTGCAGACCCTGGGACGGAACCCATGGACAAATCCAATGACACAAGAGTGCTAAAAGAGATAAATGAAGTAAAACAAAAAAACTTCCACAAGTCTAAAGAGAAGAATTTTTTTATATGATTTTTGTATACGCCTGACAAAACAATAAATGGCATAAAAGTGGGTAGAGTAAATACTCACATATGTCAGCTTACAGACGGCATTAGCCTTCACTGCAATATTATCCTGTTTAAGTTCTTGCTTGATTTCATCGATGCAGTGAGAGATGTATTTTGCCTGTGTAAACAATAATCTGTTAATGAAGCTGGAGGTATGTTAAAACACAGGACTAAACTGATATTACAAAGACAGTAACAAAGAGAGAGTTCTGGATTGTAGAAATAGTGCATGGTGCATTGATACAGTATTAAACAAAAAAAAAGTAGTACATGACTGGTAAGTAAATGACTGGTAGTACAGTTCAATTGCTACACACATCTAAAATGGTTTTCTTCAACATGAGAAAAGCTGCCATAAGTTGTTGTCCATGCCAGAAATTTCGAAATCCTATTGGAATTCAATATCACACAGCTTTCCGTTTTGGATAGCGTGGAGAAGGGTTAGACCCCATGTCAAATTTTTACAGAGGAGAAATCCAACATTTTAGAGCTCCCCGCAGAACGAGAGGCAAAAAGGGAAAACTTACAAAAGGACATCTGTTCCAGGGACAAATCCCTTCACTTTGGGAGATTTCCTCTGACTTTCTGTTGCATCTCAGGGCAGGAAGTGAAGGGAAATTTCCCCAATGGTACACAGACGGCAATAAAGACTTGACAAGGGTTTTAACCTTTCACTACTCTATCCAAAACTACACTCGCTTTGGCTATACATACACTTGAAAGTATATGTGAAGCCTATTTTTAAAGTTTTGCATAGAGTGGTGGCAGGTTAGAACCCCTGTCAGATCTTTATTGCTGGGTGCCAAATACAGAACACATTAAGGCAATCCAATATTAAACATTACTATGGCTAAGCCCCTTCCCCCTCTCAAGATGGCTAAATAAGGGTGCACGTGACTAGTTTTGGTCAAATACAGAGACACGGAGAGGGTGGACCAATTTAGCACTTTTACACTTAGTCATCATTCTAATCCTACAAAGCTGACACATAACTAGTCAAAAGCAGGCATCAGCTTATATCTCTATGTTATTAAGCACACGAGGATCCCCCCCCAAGCAAGAGTTTTCTGTTTTTATATGGTATCTTCTGAGTCTAACACACGGACTGT